AATTAGAGAAAGTCGTCTTAGATGGTTTGGTCACATTAAACGTCGACCATCTGATGATCCGATTAGGAGAGTAGATGTTTTAAATTCGACTTGTTTTAAGAAAGGCAGAGGTAGACCTAGGAAGACTTGGGCTTATTGTATTAAAAATAATCTTAATTTACAAAACTAAATGAAAATATGACACTAAATAGGACGCAATGGAGAAAAAGGATAGCCGACCCCAAGTAGTGGGATTAAGGCTTTGTTGTTGTTGTTGTTGTTGTTCTTGTTGTAATCAAACAATAACATTTCACGTAGTAATGAGTATTGACCCAAGCATACAAATAAGGAATCAAAAAAATAATCTAATAAATCAAATCATTTTTACTCAAAAGCCATATATTTTTCTCAATTTAGCAAAATTCAAAAGCTTGTCTCTTAAGATTCTCTTTTCATTTCTCTCTCAAGTTGTTGTCCTTTTATCTTGTTATTATTTTTTAGTAAGCTTTTGGCATCATCAAAACAAACATTGATCTAACATATACATAGAAACTTTTATCCATCTAAGAATTTTCAACATATAATAAAGACTGCATGCTTTAGCAAATAGACATTCGTTTATGGAAAGCGTTAAAAGTTTAATTAGGATGAAGGTATTTGATACATTTATATAATTGATAAAGTATTTAAACATGAAATTGTGTTTATCCATATGCATGTATCCAAATGTGCACAAACCCACGCTAAAAGACAACTAAAATTTAGAAAAATACGGATTAAGGGTCTGTTTGAGACAGCTTTCTGTCTGATTTGTATTTCAAAGTGCCACCACAACTCCGTTGGAGGAGCTACTTTCTAGAAAATTATGTGATAACAAGCTATTTTTTTCAGCCTGACCTATTAAAGAGTTGTGGTTGAATGAAAGCTGTTGTCGGATTTTTTGGAAAATAATATAAATTTATAATTCCCACCATAGCTTTCTAAGAAGTTATTTTCTCCACCACAGTTTTACGACCACCTTTTAAAAAAGTTGCAACTACCCCAAACAGACCCTACATGAATGAGAAAATGAAGAATGGGAGAGACTTGACACAAACAGAGCGGCACAAATTACCTGCATATTGCCGATGAGAAGTGAAAAAAGTACCAAGCCTGATATAGAAACAAATACAGCATAGAGAACCTCCCATACGTAAGTACTTGTGGTAAGGTTTTGTCCAAGAGAACTGCGAGGAAGTATGAACCAACATTAACTCACAAGACACCTGCTAAAACATGATATTTTTGCCACAACTAACAATGAGAAAACATCAGGGAATGTAAGTGCTGAATATGGAATGTTAGCTCAGCGCAGCAGAGTATTCTTACAAAGTTCATATATATATCTATATCTATATCTATATCTATAT